ACAAAGAATTATCATATTACTCTGCAATTGCACTCCTGGATATATACCCAATAGCACTGAAGATGCATGTCCACACAAAAACTTGCAGAAGAATATTCATAAAAGTGCAGTTGACAAAAGCAAAAAAAAAAAAGGAAAATTTCTCTCTCACTTAATGGATGAATAAGCAAATGAATGAATAAGCAAAAATGTGATATATCTATAAATATCCAAAAGAATCCAAAAAAAAAAAGAGTGTTAATATAGTGCATGAATGAGCTTCAGAAGTGTTATGCTAAATGAAAGAAGCCAGATGCAAGAGGCCTCATGACTCCATTTGTATGAAGTGCCCAGAATAGGCAAATTCAAACAGAAAGGAGATTAGAGCTACCAGCAGGTGTAGGAGGCAGGAATGGGGAATGAAAGCTAATGAGTATGAAGTGTCTTTGGGAGGTCAGATACCTCTGACAGTTGCACAACCATGAAAACATGCTAAAAATTTATTCCTTGTATACTTTAAGAGTGGATTTAGGGCAAGTGAGGGCCTAGCAGTTAGGATGCCACTTGGGATGCCCACATACTGTATCAGAGTTCCTGAGTTCAAGTTGCAGCTCTACTCTCAATTCGAGCCTCCTGCTAATGCACAGATGGGAAATAGCAGTGATGTCTGAAGTACTTGGGTCCACGCCACCCACATGGAAGACCTGAATTCAGTTTCTGGCTCCTGGTTTGTTGCAGACATTTGGGGGAATGAACCAGCTGAAGGGTGCTGGAGTGAAGCAGCAGATGGGAACTCTCTCCCTCTTCCTCTCCTTACCTCCCTCCCTTTTAAATAAAAAAAAATCAATCTTTTAGAAGTAATAGAGTCAATTCACTGAGAAGAAATAACAGCCCTAAATGTAAATGCACATAACAACAAAAGCCCAAAATGCAGAAAGCAAAAAACTAAAACTAGAAATAGAAATGGACAAATTTGCAATCAACGTTGGAAATGACAGCAGTCGTGTCTCAGTAACTGATAGACTAGACAGCTTACCAGAAGTTTTCTAGTTATTGACAAGTTGGTTCTAAAATGTATAAAGAAAGCTGAAAATGCAGCCAGCACCGCAGCTCATAGGCTAATCCTCCGCCTGCAGCGCCAGCACCCCGGTTCTAGTCCCAGTTGGGGTACCGGACTCTGTCCCAGTTGCTCCTCTTCCTGTCCAGCTCTCTGCTGTGGCCCGGGAAGGCAGTGGAGGATGGCCCAAGTGCTTGGACCCTGTGCCCGCATGGGAGACCAGGAGGAAGCACCTGGCTCCTGGCTTCAGATTGGCACAGCATGCCGGTTGTAGCGGCCATTTGGGGGGTGAACCAACGGAAGGAAGACCTTTCTCTCTCTCTCTCTCTCTCACTAACTCTGCCTGTCAAAAAAAAAAAAAAAGAAAAAGAAAAAGAAAAAGAAAGAAAAAGAAAAAAGAAAAGAAAGTTGAAAATGCAACATAGCCAAAACAGGGGCAGGCATTTGGCACAGAGGTTAAGATACTACTTGGGGTGCCTGCTTCCCATCCAGGAGTACAGTGTGAGGACTGACTCTGCTCTCTGCTCCTGGTTCCAGCTCCCTGCTAATGTGCACCTTGGCAAGCAGCAAGGGACGGTTCAAGTACCTGGGTCGCTGCCACCCATGTGGCAGACTCAGATTGAGTTCCTGGCTCCACACTTCAGCCTGGCCTGTTCCTTGCTGTTGCGGGCATTTGGGAAATGAGCCAGCAGGTGGAAGATGTCTCTCAGGTTTTTTCTCTCTGTGTCTCTCTGCCTTTCAGAAAATGTAAAAATTTTAAGATAAAATCACCAAAATCATTTTGAAAAAGAATCAACTATATTAGGAGGACCTGATCTCCAGGCTTTCTTTAACACTACAGTGATAAAGACAGTGTGGCTTCGGCAAAAAGTAAGGCATTGCTCAAATCGACCGGTGACAAAGAAATGAGAGTCCAGAAATAATTCACTCAACTATAATTAGTTCATTTCTGACAATATGTAAGGTCAATTAAATAAGGGAATAATATTCTTTCCACAGTGGTACTGGAACAACTGGGCATATGCAAAGAAATTAATCTTGACCTTTACCTCTTACTTAATTCAAAAAAATAACTCAAAATGGATCATAGAAGTAATTAAATGTAAAAATAAAACATAAAACTATAAAATTTTTATGATAAAGTATAGAATAAAATTATTCTGACCTTGGGACCTTGTTAGGCAGAGAGTTCTTATATGTGAACCAAAACTCAATTCATAAAACAAAAATTGATAAACTGACTCCATAAAAGTTAAAAAATATTTCCTCTAAGAGAGATATCAAGAAAATGAAAAAAGTAATCCACAGATTGGAGGAAAATATTGGCAAATTACTTACCTCATAATAATTTTGCATCCACAACATATAAAGAACTCTCAGAATGCAACAATAATAAAGCAAGTAACACACTAAAAATTTAGAAAACTATTTGGACACTTTGACAAAGTAATAGATAGCAAACAAGCACAGGAAAAGATTCTCAGCTCCATTAGTCATTAAGAAATTCAGATTAAAACCACGTGAGAGGCAACTATATACCTACTTGTTGAAGTATTAAAACTCTCATACATGGCTGGTTGGAACACAAAAGGGTACAGGCACTTTGGAAAACAATTTGGCATTTTCTGATCAAGTTAAACATATCCTTGCCAAATAACTCAGCAATCCTGCTCTAGGTATTTTCCCAAGAGAAATGAAGATGTATTGGATAAATTTCCTAGGGCTGGTATAACAAATTATCAGAAATGTGGTAGCTTAAATATAGATTTGTTCTCTCAAATTTCTGGAGGCCAAAAGTCCACAATTTCGGTGTCAGCAGGGCTGCACTCCTTCCACAAACTCTTCAGAGAGAATCCATGTCCTGCTTGCTTCTTCTTGCTGTTGGCAGTTGCTGGCCTCTGTGGCTATCTTGGCTTGTCCCCCTCTGCCTCTGTCTTCTTGCCAGCTTCTCCTCTGTGACTCCTTCTCCATGTATCTTCTATGAATCCATCGTTGGACCCACCTGGATAATCCAGGATGACCTCATTTTAAGATCCTTTTTCCAAATAGGTTCCAGTGATTAGGACATGGACATGTCTTTTGGGGGATCCCCATTCAACCCACTGCACGTATCTTCACACAGAAGTCTACCCATTAATTTTTATTGCACTTCCAGTCACACATAACAAAAACTAGACAAAGGTCCTTCAATGGATAAACCACCTGTGATACATCCCTACAATGTAATACTGCTCAGAAGGAAAAAGGGGCAAACTCTTCACACATGCAACAATATGGATAAATCCTAGATGTGCTGTGCTGAGTAAAAGAGACCAAGACTCCATTCTGATTCCATTTATATAACATTTTGGAGAAGGCAAAGCTATTGGACAGAGAAGAGAACAGTGGTTACCACAGGTGGAGAAGAGAGGAAGCAATTGACCGCCAGGGGGAGGGGGGAGGGGCACTTTGGGGAGTCATGAAGCTGTTTCCCACCTTTATTTTGATGGCAATTACAGGGCTCAACGTATTTGTCAAACCTATAGAACTATACACCAGCAAGAATGAAACTCTTCTATATATAAATTTAAAACCACCATGTTTAAAATAAGACACTGGGTCCAGGACTCTGCACACCACATTTTCCTTCATCAGGGGAGGCTCTGCCAGTTGGGGGCTCCAGAGACAAGAAGGAACGGGGAAGGAATTGTCTTCTAGTTTTGGTTCCTGAGTCTGTCTGCATCACCCAGAGTTGTTTACTCTGGCAGTGGAGTTTTTCCCCACTCCCTGAGCAGCTTTGTTGCACTCCCTCCAGGGTGCCAGCTCAGCTGACTTCCCTTCTCACTGGTCTGGGAATTGCTCCACCTCTCTTGTTCTCCTAGCCCTGTGGAAAGTAGCTGCTTCCTACAGTTTCTCTCCCTGCACTGTCTTTGACCTCTTTTGCCTTTTTCAAAAAAGGCAAACAACTACTTAGTCAATGTTTTACATCAAATTCTTTCTGCTAAAATTACTGATGCAGTTTCTGTCTTCCCTACTAGAACTTGACTTATAGGAAGCCCAAAGTCCCACAAAGTCCGACATAATCTGTCCTTCCCATTTCCTCTCTGAACTTGTGTCCAATTTCTATTCCCCATCATTCACTCTGGGTCTGATTGTATGATAGGAAATACACATTAAATCTCACCACAAGGATGCAGTCATCAGAAGTGTGTGAAACCTTATTGGACAAATAACCTAGTCTCTGCAACAAATAAGTTGCAAGAGAGAAAAAAGAGAGGGAACCTCTAAAATAGAAAAGTCCTAAAATATCAACTAGCAACAATGTAAAGACTATATATAAAATATATATGTGATAGTAAAGAATTAAGAAATTATTGTTAATTTATTTTAGCTATTAAAATGAGTTATTGTTTTGCTTAAAGAACCCTAATTTACAAATACTTGGTGAATGTTTACGGATTGTTCAATAATAATATACTGGGGTAGGGAAGTACATGATATATGGATATAACAACATTGATCACTGGTCATTTTTGAAACCAAGTAATGGGTACAAAGAATTCATTGTATTATATAAAAGGTTGTAAAATTTTCTATGTATTTTCAATATCGAAGGGTCTACCACGTCAGGCAGCAAGACCAAATAATGGCCCATAGGTCTCTGGAAAACATCATGAGACACTGTTGAAAACTCCACAATGCAGTGATTTCTACCATAAGACCCAGAAACCAAGACCTTGATCTGCCCTTGACTACCTGGGTGACCTTGGACTTCGGTTCTACATGCCTCCATTTCCTCAGAGGTGAGATGGAAGAGTAAAATCTACCCCATGGTTTTGTCATGCAGATGAGATGAATTCACAGGTTTGAAACACTGTCTTAGGACATCATCTGGCTCATGGCAAGTACTCAAAAGATGTTAATTATTATTCTCAGTATTATTACACAGAAAATGAAACGAATCACAAGGGTCTTGAAACAGATGTATCCAAAATATGTTTTTAATCTTGATGAAGTTCACAAATGGCACAATATTGACATTTCCTTAAATAAGTTATATAGTCATGTTCTTAGACAACAAGGCACAGCATCACCATTACCGTGTGTTCCCAGAGGCCACAGAGGCAGTGATTTCATGTTCCCCCAACGATTGGCAGAGCTGCCAAGATCAGCAGGATGGCTCTCAAAGAACCAGTTTGCTACCAGATAAGCCAGTGAGAGATGCCATCAGATTTACTGGACATAGAATCAAATACAAAAATGATGCACAAGAAATATGGAATTAGCTTATTTTGCATTCAGTTTCATTCCTTTCCAGTGACAAAGGTGCTTTTTTTTTCAATATTTGTTAAGATGCAAACATGTGTGTCTTCCATGGGGCATTCTCACCAGGTTGTGGTCAAAAGAAATCAATAGAAGTGGTGAGTTCAGCATCATGGTGACCTGTGATGAGAAAAAAAAGAGGAAAAAGAAGGAGCAAAAGAGGAGGGGGAAGGGAAAGAAGCAGAAAAACAAGAGTGAATAACCACAATTGTCACTGAAACAAATCCCAGCTTACAGAGGCGCTTCTTTATAGCACTGATGCATTATGGATATGAGATATGAGCAGGTTTATAAGGCAAATGAAGATTAGAAATACTCCAAACTCTGAACCTTCAAGTCAGTGTTCGTATGATGACAGCTTTCCTGTCTGAACCTGTGAACACTGTTCAAGGGTTGAGCCCTTTCTGAACTTTGACTCAGTAATGACGGGTGATGCTGACTGAAGTGTGTGCTCTCCTCCTTTAAACTGGTCCTGACGCTCTAATTTCAAACTCAGTTCTTGCAGGAACTCACTACCTCAGCAGGAAGATTGTCACTGGAAACAAGCGACTTGAAGAACCCAACAGAGTCACCGGGTTTCAAACGTGAACCTTAATCTCCAAATCCCTTCCGTCCCCAATCCCTCAGCACAAGGGCGGTCTCACCTTCTTCCTGGAGTCATTCGGCTGCTCAGGCCTGAAGGTCCCTGCGACGCCGGCCGAAGGCTTCGGAGCCCACATTGGTGGGCACGAAGTTGCTCTTCACCATTCCGCCTGACCTGCTCAGCAAGCCTGCCAGCCGATGGGTCACACAGGTGGCAGTGTTGCAGCCTCTCTTCTGGGCAGTGATGCTGATTTGCAGGATGGGGAAAGAAGAGGAGACCGGTCAATGGATGGCTAGGAGAGGTGTCTTCCCCATGGGATCCTCATAAAGAGAATTGCAGCTCTGCAACATACTACTTAACAGTAAGTGTTTCTCCTAAATGCAATTATGCAGTTAAGCTGTTAAGGGAAATGGCTGGCAGCCTTGGCAAGCAGCTAAACCCAAAAATCATCACACATGTGCACACACAGAGAGAGGGCAGTTCCAAACCAGGATGCTATGCTGAAACTCCAGAGAAAGAGTGAGCAGCAAGGCCCAGTCCTCTTAATGACACACAAGGAGTATATAGAGATTATCTCACAGCCAGTAGCACCCACAAAACCATCTCCATGGGCAGATGAAATTCCCCTAAAGCCTTTCCTGGAAGGCACTGAGAGATCAGGGTTGGCACATCTTCTCTCAGAAGTGGTTACGCGCTTCTAAGTACATGGGTCCTGCTACTTGCATGGGGTCACAGAAATCACGCACCACTGCATAGATGCAGCTACCTCGAACTAAGGCTACTTCTAAGCATGGGCACGGACACCCTCAAGCCTTGGATGTGGACCAGAGCAGGTCAGGTGCTTCAATTCATCAAGTGGTGAAGCAGGAGGCATGTGCTGATTTTAGCATATTCAGAAGCAGGAAACAGATGGGCCTGCTGTGAAATCCTCTGGAGTGTCAATAAGCTCCCTTCACTCTCTTATCTCTATCCCGATCTGTGAGTTCTGCTCTCTCCCCTTCCATCCTAAGGTCCCCAGTATTCTTGGTCAAATGCAAAGCAACATACACTAGCCTGAAAAGCAATCAGAATGGAATCCACAGGCAATCGTGTTTATAAACGGGAGCATGAAAGAAAATCAGGAAGGAGTGGGACAGGTTCAGATGGCATCCTGAGACACCGCAAAGTGGAGGCAGTTGTCTTGCTGCAAGCCTTTGGCTATGTTGCTTTACTGGCTTTGCATTTCAGTTCTGAAATCAATGCCAGCAAATGTACAAAAGTTGTCTGGTTTCTGTAAGTATGTGCCCAGCACATAAGCACTCAGATTACTACACCACTTAGATTTGTGGAGGTCTAGGTTTCAGGGAAAAGACAAGCCAGGAAAAAATATACTATGTACCCCATGGGCCATCAACAGAAGGTTAGGCCAGGCAGGGGCACTGCAAGTGGGGGCACAGCCCTCCAGCAAGAGAGCTCCGAGGTGCTGCAGACCAGGGTGGAGTAAAGGGTGAACTTGACCTGCATTCCACACACTGCTCAGTTCCTCACACTTGGCAGAGGGGTTCCCATGGCAGATACATGGGCAACGCCTGTCTCTGCACAGGCAGGGCTGGGGCCAAGCCAGGGACTCCTCTGTGCTCTGGGTCAGGGTACACAGAGGAGTGGGACTGTGGGACGGGGTGCTCCTCCTGGCCCTGTGGCCCCTTGCACATCTCTATAGCTGCTCAACTAAAGTGAGCACACTCTTATCACAAGTTCTAACTCACAAGGTCTCCCCAGCACTGCAAGACCAATTTCCAGACTAAGCAGTTACTCATACCCCATTTTATTTCCTAATGCCTTTCAGAAATGGATCTTATCACTGGGTCTGACCACAGTCCCTTCAGCTGCAACACAGAAACTGACAATCACTGGGACACTGGTCCTGATGAATAACAACAGACGGGGCAGGTGCGTTCTCTCCTCCCTCTCTGGGATATGTCCTCCTGACTATGTCAGAGGCTGGTGGGGAGTCTTACCTGGAGCCCTCAGTCTCTAGCTCCTGCTCCTGGTCTTCCTGCTGCAGTTCCAGCTCGCTGGCCTTCATCTGCACATAGTCCTGCACCAGTGCAGCCAGCAGGAGGCGCGCTTCCTCTTCATTAAATGTGGCCAGGTCTGGGCTGCTCTCCAAGGCGGATCTGTGTAGGGCAAGCAAACCCAGCGCAGGTTCTGAGCCTCTGCAGACCCCAGCCCCCAGGATAGGCAGCGAGGCTTCCAGATGCCTGCTTCTTCCCCTGAGGATGTGGGCGCTCTGCTCTCCGCCTCCCCCCACCCAGTGGACAAGGCATGAGGCCAGTTTCCACCTAAGGGCGCTGATTCACCAGGAGCCACGCGTGACTTCAGAGGCACGGAACAGTCTGATCCCAGGGTCAGAGGGAGAGGAGTGCGCGGCCGCTTTGGGCTGGCTCACCTGAAGGGCGCCGCCTGGAGGCTGCCTGCCTGGCACAGGACCAAGATGCCTAGAGCCAGGAAGGGGGAGAATTTCCGGAAGCCCATGACGCCTTTCTGTAAAGGGAGAATGGCATTACCACTGCGCCAAGACCACTGACCCAGGTTCTACTAGGTTCCACAACTGCCACATGACCCCGGACCGGCCATCCACGGCCCGCGCCTCTGTTCAGTTCTTGGCAGAAAAGCTGTGGTGAGTATCCTAAGATGCAATACTGTGAGAGGCTTGGTGGAGCAGACACTGGTGTCCTGGCAGAGATGTGGGGGTGTGGCTTTTGGAGAGGCGCACAAACCCACACCTTTCATCCAGGTCTATGCGGAAGCCAAGCGCGGACCCACCCTCTTGTGGACTTGAGCCTGTCTCATCCATAGCCTCGACCATTTGGGGGCCACCTTCTCTGCGGGACCTGAAGCCAACCCGTGCGAGTGCAGGATGGGAGGGGTGGATCAGAAAGTGAGCAAACCTCGCAGCCCGCAGATTTCGATTTGGAGAGATTTGTAACGTGCCAGTTACAGGTGTCTCGGGACTGCCCGGATCGCCAGCGCCCTGTGGGAGCGCAGTTTAGCAGCAGGTGGCGGGCGCCCGCCCGCGGGGATCTGTCCACTCTTGCGGTCGGCTGACAACCCTGCCCCGCATCCGACAGATGTCGCAGGAATGCCTGCGGACTAGGGCGCCTCAGAGGAAAGCTCAGGACTCCGCCGTCCAGGGAACCGAGCGTAATCCCTAAGGCTGCACTTCCACACTAAACTCGAATACGATCCCGCAAGGGCACAGACCCGCCTACCTGGGATCGCCGATCTTCCAGGGCCCACACAGAGCCCCAGGGTTGCTTCTGGGTTCGGCTCTCATAGGTGCGTGGAGAGCCCTAAGCGTACACCTACCTCGAGCCAGGACCAGGAGGGGGTAGGCAGGCCCAGAGATCCGAAAAGCGAACGTGCAAAGTGGATGAGCTAAGGAGACAGGCAGGTTATTAGAGTAATAGGGAACTTTCTCACCTGGCGATGAGAGGCAGAGCAAGCGACAGGTCCACCCGGGAAGAACACGACGCCTGCAGTAGGGGCCTTCCCAGCGGAGCCCCAAGCTCTTATTCTAGTGACCTCGGGAGGCGGGGGCACCCCACCAGCAGACGCGGCCAATCCAAAGTGGCCTGGATCAGCCAATCAGAGGCCCGACCGAGCTCCGATTGCGTCATAGCCGGCACTACCCGCCGGGTTCACTGCCGAGGGCGCTGTGGACTGCCACCGTCATTTGCTTTGAGGTCATTGCTTGGGGAGCGGGAGGGCCTGGGAGAAGGCGGAGAGCATCACCGTTCAGAAAGTTGTGGACGAGTCAAGGGAGAGTTTGGCATTACCTAAAGCGAGGGACCAGAATTTGTCTCACTTCCCTGGCGCCTGAACTCAGGCACACCAATGGGACACCTGAGTCTGGCCACCTGGATCCCCAAGACTGAACAGGAGTCCTGGGTTCTAAAGCGGTCTCAGCTGAAATAGTAGCTGGTGGTGGGGAAGGGGTGGGGGCCTCTAAGATTGATGTCTTTAAACTATCTGGGTGGCCCCGGGGGTATCTCTCCCCGCCCCCCCTTACCCTCTTCTCCGGAGCGCGTGCGCCTTAGCACCCAGGATCCCAGGGAAGGTAGCTTTGCTTCTAGTCCAGTCTGGCAGCTTAGGCTGAGAGCCAAAGAGAAGAGAGGACTCCGGAGGGGGTAAGCCGGCACCGCCTGCCCGAAGAGCTCAGCATTCCCCACCTGGCCCCCTGCCTCTAAAATCCTGGGCTGCAGGTTCAGGGTTCCTCCCCCAACCCTAGGACCCTCCACAGCTGCCCTGCGCCTCTGGCAGAGTCCAGCGGAGCTGTCAGGCCCGGGCCAGTGCCCAGGTCTTTATCGCTCGCATCCCCATCCCGCATCCCCATCCCTCTTCCCTGAAGAACTGAGCACGCCAGGTCCAGTGCCCAAAGGCAGGTAGGGGGAAGGTGCTGCTGCCCAGGCGGCAGTCGGCGACTTTCACACGCGCTCCCCTCGAAGCTACAGAAAACCAGGTGCGCGCATCACGCACTCGCATGCCCGGACCTCCACCACACATTCCATGTTTCCCGTGCTCACCCACACTCCCGCAGCCCAGGCGCTCGCTGCGATGCGCGCACCTCTCCAGCTGCTCTCAAAAGGGAGCACGCGCACCAACCCAAACCAGTGCGCCCGGAGCTGCAAGCGCGCGTGTGTCTGCTTTTCGGGCATAAGCACGTTTTGTGTACCCTGTCCAGCAAACCTAAGCACCGGCACACGCACCTCCACGCACACGAACTCGGACTCTTCCTTTTTTCCTAAAGGAAAGCGGGTTTCTCCGAGTCTGCGCTGCCGGCTCTTCTTGCTTCTGGGTCCGGAGAGACCCTAGCTCTAACCGTAGGGGTCCGGATTGGGCTGGAGGTGGGGACGGTAGGGAGGAAGAGAGGGAACGCCCCCCAACCCCCAGGCTTCAATCTCACTCTGTACCACTAGCTAAAAAACTTCTGCCCGTGCCCCTGGGCTGGGAAGGCGCGTCCAGGCAGCATCGCTGGGGACTGCGGTGAGGGTGAAGCCAGAGAATCGCTGGACCCCCGCGCTGGTGCTGTTTTCTGGAACTCAGTGGGTGTCTGTGTAGCCCCTCCAAAAAAAAAAAAAATCCGTTTTCTGTGGCAGGACCCTGCTAGTGGGAAGAAGGCGGGTTGACTGCCAGCAAAGAAACAATCGGAACCCCAGGTGACACCCCCTCCCCCAAAGAAGCGGAAGAGACCACCGACTCTGGTGACGCCCTCGGTCTGCCTCCCCAAGACCCAGAACGCTCCCAGGCAGGCTGGCCCGAAGTCGCGCCCTCCCCTGAGAGGCAGCGCAGCACAGATAAAGAGACTCGCGGCTGCTGGCTTATTGGATGCAGGGCAATCCCGCACCGGGAACCGTGGCGCTCTCTCCAGCGGGTTCTTGTACGTAATACGTAGGTTTCCCTGCGCCTACATTCTTCAGGACGCAAGGAGGACCACCAAAGCGGCCTTCACTTGGAGGCTTCTCTGCCTAAGCTCTGCATACAAGCTCTATGTCTTGTTCCCGGATTCCCAGGGAGAGGGGCTCCCCAGCGGAAAGGCCAAGTTGGAAGATGCCGTCAGCAGGAGGCCTCTCCCCCTCCCACTGCAGCATCCGCGGCAGCACCACTCCCCTCGAGGCTCTGGGGCAGCTTGGAGGGTGGCGGGTGCAGTAGGAGAGAAGGTGCGTAAGGTCGCAGACCTTGAAACCCTGAAGGCATCGGTGCCTCTCAGGGCAAAGGAAGCAGGTGGAGAGACAAAAGCAGCCCCATTGGTATTTGGCCTCCAGGGCCTCCTAAAACAAACTTGGCAAAACTCCCACTTCTGAGGGGTAGGGGCAGGAAACCTAGGGCTGTCTCCAGAGATCCAGTTTGTGTCATTAGAAGTCTTAAGGGTAGTGCCGACCGCCATATTGGCACCGCGAAGGGCACAGTGCCAGGATGCCCCCTCTGCTCCATCCCCGGGCTCCGGGTGTCCAGCCACGCTGTGCAAAGCTCCTGCCTGGGGCAGGGTAGAAGGTAGCTTCTATGAAGGCCGCCAGGAGTCAGATCCCAGCACTCTGAAAAGAGTTTAGCAGACTCCAAGAGAAATTCAACAATCTCAAAACAATCATACTGGATTCGGCGAATTGAATTCTTTGGTGCCCCCATGAGACTGACTATGTCAGCTGTGAGCACCGAGAATTATTTGACCTAGTCTTCTTCAGCTATTAACTTCTTTGCACAATGTATGGCACACAGTAGGGGCACAATAAATGCTTGGTGAAGACAGAAGAGCAGGGTGGTGAATGAATGGACAGTCTGAAGCACCATCAGACAGTACATTCACAGCCAAGATGAAATGGAAGGTAGACCAATTAAGATCCATTAGATGGGAGAGCAGACGTTGATTCAAAGATACTCCTCTTTATTTACTAAAAGGAATCAATGGCTTGGTGAAAACTTTCTGGAATCTAATGTGAGAGGAAATGCAGGGTTTTCTCTTTGGGAGTCCACTGGATTGCAAAGCAAAACGAGGCAGTTTTTCTCAGCCCATCCTTGTATTGTATTAGTGAGTGGATGGGAGGAAAAGTCCATAAAATGATCGGCTTTCTAAATTGAGAAAATTACATCTTGGTTTCCCTGGAACTGTTCTGAGCTTCATGGCATCTCACTAGTCTAAAGCGAATGGTTTCCTAAGAAAATGTTTGGCTTTTAAATCGTCTCTCAAATATTTTGATGCCAATTCAAATATTTTATAACATTACTTTAAATTTTTAAATATGATAGTTTTAAAATTTTATAAAGAAACAGGTTCCATGAACTACAGCTTTTGAAGTTGATTTTTTTTTGTATTTTGATGTACTCCATTTTCTTAAGAAATTGTCCAGAAGAATTTTCCTTAAGAGAAAGTTTTTTTCAGCCAACATATATTTATTGAGAGCCTACTATATGTCAGCCATCGTTCTAGACATTAGGAACTGCCAGGGAACAAAACAGAACCTCCTCGCTCAGTGTCCTTCTATCACAGTGATGTATTGAACAAGTCTTTGTAGACCTCATTGCTCCCCTAGTGAAACTTCCTCCCTTACTCACATAAACTCATCTATTTGTCAAATAGATATTTACATTAAGACTATATAGATGTTATTCCTGCCTGGGTCACACAGTCTACTCAATTACATTTCCCTGCATATTCGTTTATTTTGAATACTAGTCTCTCTTATTTTTCCCCAGTTTTCTTTCTCCTGATCACTTATTATCCCTTTTCCTGGACACTGTCTGTGCCTCATTCACAATTTACTCCCTCACTTTGGTGGAGTATATTAACCATGACATGATTGACAGCTTCTCTGGAAAGAATTCTAGGATGGAAATCATTTTCACTGAGAATTTTGCAAGTATTCTCCAACTGTCTTCTATCTCTGGTGTGATTACTGAGAAACATATTTCTGTGTTTTTCTTTTCTTTCTTTCTTTACTGTAATTGTTGTTAGCTGTTGTTGTTTTTGTTATAGATTCTCTGTCTCTTCTCACCAGTATTCTAAAATTCCATGGTGATATAGCTTGGTGTGGACTGTTATAATTACTGTTCTGAGTAATGAGGGAATCCTTACAACCTAAAATTTCATGTCTTTCACTTCAGGGAAATTTTCTTACTTTGCTTTTTTTTTCTTTTAATAAAACACAAATGATTATATAGTTCATAATGCTCTGTATCTTACTCTCATAACACTACTTTTATTTTTTCTCTTTTTTCTACACTTCCCATAATCTCCTTTTTTAAACTTTTATTTAATAAATATAAATTTAAAAGTACAACTTTTGGATTATAGTGGTTTCCCCCCATAACCACCCTCCCACCTGCAAACCATCCCATCTCCTACTCCCTCTCCCATCCCATTCTTCATTAAGATTCATTTTTAATTATCTTTATATACAGAAGATCAACTTAGTATATACTAAATAAAGATTTCAACAGTTTGTACCCACATAGAAACACAAAGTATAAAGTTCTGTTTGAATACTAGTTTTACTGTTAATTCGCACAGTACAACACCTTAAAGACAGAGATCCTACATGGGGAGTAAGTGCACAGTGACTCCCACTGTTGATTTAACAACTGACACTCTTATTTATGACGTCAGTAATCACCCAAGGCTCTTGTCATGAGCTGCCAAGGCTATGAGTTCACCAACTCTGACGTTATTTAGACAAGGCCATAATCAAAGTGAAAGTTCTCTCTTCCCTTCAGAGAAAGGTACCTCCTTCTTTGATGGCCCGTTCTTTGTGCTGGGATCTCACTCACAGAGATCTTTCATTTAGGTCATTTTTTTGCCACAGTGTCTTGGCTTTCCATGCCTGAGACATTCTCATGGGCTTTTTAGCCAGATCAAAATACCTTAAGGGCTGATTCTGAGGCCAGAGTGCTGTTTAGGGCATCTGCCATTCTATGAGTCTGCTGTGTTATCCCGCTTCCCATGTTGGATCATTCTCTCCTTTTTAATTCTATCAGTTATTATTTTGCTTTGCTTCTTGATAATCTCTTCCTCTCATTTTTCTGGGAGGGATTCAAGTTTCTGGGAG